CCTTCTTTTGATCAACTGTCATATTTTTAACTATCATCTTGGTTTTTTTCTGATTCAATCTAAATCCTGATACCATACCATACTCTTCTATAATGTCTTTCATCTGAATTATTGATTCCATCGGCCGTGTTAGGGTAACAACCAGATCATCTGCAAATGCCCTTGTTCTGTAATCCTCTTGCCTTATAACTATTCCATTCAAAGTGCTCGAGTCCCGTATTGTGTTCAACAAGACTTCTAGAATTAGAATAAACAACAACGGGGATAACGGACAACCTTGTCTTGTGCCTTTTTCTATACTGAAGTTTGTAGTTAAGCTTCCATTAATGATAATTTGTGCTATTTGCTCTTGATAAATTGCTGAAACTGCCTGCACGAACTGATCCCCAAAGTCCATCTTTCTTAAAGTCTTTAATAGAAAGTTCCAGTTCACTCGATCAAAGGTCTTCTCCGCATCCAGAAACACCAGCACTGCAGAGATCTGTTTATTCTTCTCAAGATATTCCAATAAATCTATAATTTGCCTCACATTATCCTTCATGTATCTGCCTTCTATAAATCCTGCTTGATCATGATGAATCACCTCTTAAATAACTGGCATTAATCTGTTGGCTAATACTTTTGCAAAAATTTTATAATCCGTATTCAGGAGAGATATTGGTCTAAAATTTTCCGGTTTTATAGAACCTACTTCCTCTTTCAGTATCAAAGAAACAAAAGCTGCTTTCCATGAAGGGGGTATTTTACCCCCTTGTTGTATGCTACAAAATAAATCTTTAAGATGTTCAATCATTTCTGCTTGTAAAGTTTTATAATACACCGCAGTTAAACCATCCGTTCCTGGAGCTTTAGCTGTTTTCAATTGTTTAATAGCAATAATAATCTCCTCAGCTGTTATTGGTAAGCTCATTCTTTCCTTTTGATCACTAGAAATTTTCATAACTCTCCTTTCTTCTAGATATTTATTTATAAGTTCATTCTGTATATCATCTTTGGCATATAATTTAGTATAATAATTTAAGAAGGCTTCTTTGATTAGTCTTTGTTGAAAAACTTCCTTCCCTCCATACTCAATACTGCCAATAGTCCGAGTACTCTGTTGTTTCCTCAGTATGTAAGCTAACCACCTGCCCGGCTTATTAGCGTTGCAAAATGTATTATGTTTCGCAAATTGTAAATTAGTTGCTGCTTGTTCCGCTGTGAGCATTTGAAATTGGTCTTTCAAAAGTTTTATAATTCCTTGTAGTTTTTCATCTGTTGGGTTTTTTATAAGCAACTGTTCTTTTTTCTTTATCTCTCCTTCTAATTCTAATCTTTTTCTTTGTCGATTTGATTTATGTTTAGAATTCATATGGATCAGTACCCCCCGCATATACGCCTTACTCGCATCCCAAACAATTTCAATAGGGGTACCCTTATTCAAGTTCATTTCAAAAAATTCCTTCATTTGTTTTTTAAGTTCATTTACGTTCTTTTCATATCTAAACAAGTTTTCATTTACTCTCCACGATCTTCTCTCATTCTTTCCCATTTCTATTTCTATCCATACCGGGCTATGGTCAGTTAAAGTCCTCGGAAATATCTTTGTTTTCTTTGTTTTTAAGAATAGGTCAGCCGTAAGTAGAATAAAATCAATCCTAGAGAAGGATCTATGTCTGTCTGAGAAAAAAGTAAAGTCCAATTCTTTTGGGTTATGCACTCTCCATATATCTTTCAATTCCAAATCTTCTTTCATATCAAAAAAAATCTGTGGTAATTTAACACATGACTTTGCCAAACTCTTTTTATCTTTTTTGGGATCTATTACTCCATTCCAATCTCCCATAAGTAAAATAGATCTGTAGTCCCATTGTAATATTTTAGAGTACAAGATTTTATAAAAATTTTCTTGTTGCTAATTAGGAGCATAAATTCCAATCACCAAAATTGGACCATTATCTGTAGAAAGTTCAATTGCTATATATCTTCCACAGTCATCTGCTTCTAAAATTTTTGCTGGCAATCTTTTATTTATATAAATCATTACACCATTCTTTTTCTCCGAATTTGAGGCTATAAACTGTGCTCCTAATCTAGGATTTATCAAATATTTTTGATCTTGTATTCTAATATGAGTTTCTTGTAGGCAAATAACATCATTATTAAATTGTCTCAGATAGTGAAATATCTTCCTTCTTTTCTGTGGTGAATTCAATCCATTCACGTTCCAAGATAAAAACTTGTCATTTGTAGTCTCCTGAAGCGTTAAGAGCATTTGCTGAAGTTTCTGTTCCAGACTGGTAGTCTTCGGCTTAGCTCCTCCCATAGCTTCGGATTTTTGTGCTTTACCATTGACTCCCTTCTTATCTTGCGATAGCTTAGATCTCTGCTGTTGTTGTTTCTCTAGAATTTGTTTATAAGCTGCTCGAGTTATACGCTGGTCTTTAGCTTTATACGACATCAACTCGAGATCCACTGCCACTTCTCTTGTATTTTTGGGTGGTCCACCTAAAGCCTCTAAAGGAAGATCCAGCAAAGGTTCATCCAAAAAAACCCCTGTTGCTCCTTGAGTTTCCATTACCTTCACCTCCATCTGTTTCCGCTGCTCTTCAAGCTCTTGTTCAAATTGCTTCTCTTTCTCACCCTCCTCTATACCTAACACTGAGGATGTACGTGGAGATGTTGCGCCAGTTTTAAAAACATTGAAATAAAAATCTTCCGCTTTTTCAACAGTATTTAATCGATATCTCTCTCCTTGATACCTCAATATTATGCCAACTGGAGCATCCCATCTGAATGGAATTTGTTGTTTCTTTAATTCAGTCATCAAAAATCGAAAGTCCTTTCTATCTCTTAGCATCTTAGGCAGCAAATCTTTGTAAATCCCAATCTCCCTTCCATCCACTTGAATAGTAGAAACAAAAACTTTTGCAAAATATCGTTTCTTATTCTTCTATCTGTAAAGTAGATCACCACATCTCTAGGCAATTGCCTCTCCCTTGCCACCCAAGAATTCACTCTATAGACCTTGTCCATCTTGCACAAAATCTCCTCAGGGCTAACCTTTAGCATCACAGCCAGGGCATCAGCACAAACCCTTCTCAAATCTTCTCTGTTATTTTCTTTTATTCCTCTCAGTCTTACAGCAAACTCCATGAATCTAAATTGCATCATTGTCACTTCATTTTCAATCCTTTGTGTTTTTTTGTCAACATTAGAAATTTTATAATCAGCTTCCTTCAGTTTAGATTCTACTTCTGAACTAAGTTCTTCCACTTTTTTATCAATCTGAACAACTACTTCTGACAAGCCAGTCACAACTGTCAGTATGTCACGCTTCATCTTGTCATACTTTTCTTGAACCACCTCCTTAATTTCCTGTTGAGATTTTTCAAATTTCTGGTCCAAAACTTAATTTTGATTCATCAGAGCCGCAGCAATAAATTCCTTCAAATCTTTAAAACCAGTCTCCTGTGCTTGGCTCTGAGTCTGCAAACTTAAAAGCTGCTCTTGTGACTTGTGAGTGGGGGAAACCCCCCCCTGCAGTTTTAGTGGCTGGCTTTGTCTGCTTTGAAGCCATTCTGCCACGCAGTCTGATTCTTTCTAAGAAGGAAGTCCTCCCTCCCTTTTCACCACAGAATCCTCTCAGAAATTTCCCCAGCTTTAATCAAGTCTCTAAGGGAGAAGCCAGCGCTGTTGCTTTAGATACTTTGTAACGTATTAAAACACTCAGGCAAATCCACTTTCGCTTTCAGCTTTTTTCCTAATGCTGAAGCCGGACGCCATTTTAGCAAACTTTCACTTTTTCTCCGTTCTTAAGTTCAATCACAGGGCTAATACAAATACTTGCAGTTTTGAATTTCAAGTCCAGATTCCACCCTGTTTATTTTTGATAATTCTCTTGGATTTCGCTGGTTATGTTGGTTGCGTCGTCTGGCTCTGCTGGATGCAGAGTTGTCCCTGGAGTCCGGAGCCTCGGAGAGCTGGATAGGGAGCCTCACCCTGCTTCCTCCCCAGAAGCAAAAAAGACAATCTGGGGACTTCGCAGGGGGCTCTACCTGCTCTCGCCAGCTCTCCTCCCGTTTCCTCAAGAACGTGGAGTTTTTCAAGCCGCCTCTCAGCTGTAGGGGCGGCTCTTTACTGGCGGCGGGGCTGGCGGTCTTAAAGAGATCGTCTAGCGACGACGACGGTGCCAACAGGAAGTCCGAGTAATATTTTTAATAAATGAGAAAGATCGGGCTTGCCTGGACACCATAGTGGAAAATATTGAATTGAAAATGAATACAGCAATAGAGAGAGATGAAAGAGGAGTAGAGAGTAGAGTAGAGAGATGGAAGAGAGGGGGAGAAGAGAGAGGGATGGAAGAGAGGGGAGGAAGGAAGAGAGGGGAAATCAGAGTAGGAGAGAGGGCTAGACAGGGAGGAAGAAAGGAGGAGAAGGAAAAAGGAAGAAGAAGTAGAGAGGAGCAGGAGAAGAGGGAAAAAGAAAGTAAGATGGAAAGAAGAGAGGGAGATGGCAGGATTGAGAAGAAAGATTGCTGTACAACAAAAAGGTGAAATGGAAGAAAGGCAACCCCGAACATATATAAATATATTAAGATAAAGAATGAATGGTTAAAAAATAAAAGAAAATAAATATGAATAAGCAGGAAAATTAGAATTTGAGGGCGAATGAAGATGTTGGTTATATAAGTAAGCATAGAAATATTGAGATATGATTAAAAAAAGAGAAAAAAATTGTGGCAAAAATTGTAATTGAGTAAAATGTATTTGAATTTGATAAATTGTATAAGATAAGATATGGCCAATACTCTGTTCAAAAAAGATGTGGGTGAATGTGGGGGGAAAAAACCCAATAAAACTTGATTTAAAAAAAAAACCAGTAGCATTCTGGACAAAACTTGACAACTCGTAATTTGCATAAATTATCTGAATATAACTATCACATAAAATCATAGCGAAATTCTTCAAAACACTTTTTAAAATTCATTACATGTTGTACATAACGAGAATATCATTTACCAATCTTGACAAGTTCCATCCACTGGACTCCTTGTGTGCCAATTGCAACTAATGAGAAACCAATGGTTGAACCCACTATACAATGAGTTCCAGATATTGGAAGCTTCAAAAATGATGCTATCAGCTGCCAAACAGCAGATCCTAAAATGTAAAGCATAAAGAGAACAATCAAGATAGGGTATTTTAACATTTTGGAGTATCAGAATTTTAAGGCATTTATAATCTTACAAAGGCAGGAAGAAGAGTGTTACTGAATGCTACCAATTCAAATTAGAAATGATTTGCTCTCTACTGATTTTAGTTCAAATAATGTAACAAAAGATCTTCAGCAAATATTTTTATATCATCCTATATCTTTTATTGTTCCACTTTTATTAATACATACACTTAGTAAGGACAAAAAACTAAAGGTGCACAAATATATTTCTTTTATTTGGGTAATTTCATCATCAAATATGGGATTCTGATAACTATCCAACCCACACCATTTTCAGTAATCCCATCACTATCTACCATTTCAGCATATCTGACAGAGTTCCACCTACATCATATTTCAATATGATCCAGTATCTCACTCATAGCTATAGAAAGACATAGAGTTTATGCAACAAAGTATCAATTTTATATAATTCTTAAAGTCTAATACTTTTGTGAATTTATTGGATTACTACTGCTAGTAATTCTCAATTTGTGACTATAATTGGGACCAGAATTTCTATGCCAAAATAAATTGTTATGTGAGTCAGGTCCAATTTTACCTTTTTGCCATTAAATAAATCACTGCAAGTGTTAAATCCATCATGCTGTCATTAAGCAAATCTGGCTTCCTACATTGACTTTGCTTGACGTAATCCAGCTGGCAAGGGCACAAATTAGGATCTTGTGAGCCCGGGACACTGCAACTATCTTAAATACCATCAGTTACCAAGTGCCCAAATTTTGATGATGTGCCATCAGGATGCTTCAATGATTATAAATGCAAGGACCAGTCATAAATCACCTTTTCAATGCCGCTGTAACTTCGAATGGTTGCTAAATGAATGGCTAAATGTAAGTCTAAGACTACAGTATTTCTTTCCTAAGCTTCAACGTCTTCAATTAAGTCCAGCCAACAAAGCAGATATTACAAGGTAATAATAAATTGTTGGATGAAGCGTATAAAATAGAAACAAAGAAACATTCAAATAATCTAAAAGGAAAATAATCTTGATGGATAAAATAATCCTTGTAGTAAATGTGCTCTTGTATTAACAAGCAAATGTTTTTCTTCTTGAAACAATTAGGAAATGTAACAATGCCAAATATTACTAGCAGTAGTAATACATTAAATTCACAAAAGTGTTAGACTCTATTAATTCAATTTTATATTTTAGTTCATTTGTTTCATTATCTGGAACTCTACACAATAAAAATTTGATTTGTTGATTACCATTGAAGAAATAAACAGGGCTACTAGCATAATGTTAAAGAAAATCACACCAATGAGTTGCAGGAAATAACTGCAGAGTTTAAAGTGTACAGGAATGAAAGAGAAGGGTAGGCGTTGTAATAAATAAGGGAGAAAGGAAGGAATCCCATGTGCCAATAAAAAAGTATTCGCATGGCATAGCATACTTCAGAAAATACTCATTTTTCAATTCTACTTCTGGAATGTTTTGAACGAATTAGCAAGACAAATCCAATATTCTAATGTTAACTAAACCATACTTTGTATTGAAATATTCTCGCAGATGGACTTATAGACCTATATTCTAATCTCTCTAAGGAAGGATGAAACGAACCTTTCATAAACAAACCTGAACATAATAGTTTAAGCAGACTCCATTGCTTTGCCATTCATCTAAAATTAGATGTAGGTATTAAAAATATTTAACCATTATCTGTATTTAATCATTAATAGTCAACATACTTTAAATAACTTTAAATTTCATGATCAAGTATGATACAATTTAAGACAGCATTTTTATCCTCAACATTTTGTCTTATAGTTAAATGTTTATATAAACTAATGAGTCAAAATATAGTACTTGACAGCCTATTTAATGAAGATTCCAATCCTGCTCTGAAGCCAAAAAAGGAACATTTATACTTTCTAGTTATTGCTGTTATCTGTCTTCAATGCTCATTCGTCAGTGACAGACAAAGGCAGCATTCAAAACAAATATATTCTAGAAGTTCTCTTCTATGTACTTCAAGTGGGAGGAAGCAATAGTGTAACCACATAGCATAATACATGCTCAGAGTTATAGATAGTCCCAGGACAATCATCAAGCTCCCAAGAATAACCTCCTGCTCCTCAGAATGGATCCCTGAAAATATTTTGAAATGTCATTCCTTGAGGGCAATCTGATCTGCTCACTAGAAACAAAGGGCTATATTCTCTTGATAAGATTAAATCTCCCTTCACCTATTCATATTTGCATTGCTGTGTGGGGAAGAAAATAGGAGCTTCTTCTGGCTTATTTTTCCCAGGCTTCAGTGTAAAGAAAGGAAATTACTGGTCTCCCATGACCCTCATCATGTTCCGAAGAACAAGAGACACTGATTATAAGCACAAATAGAATAGATTAATAAAATAAGCTAGTAGTTTAAGATTTTTTTTTCATAAAAATTAATAAAACTGTAAATATAAATCTAAGTCACCAATATTGTTAATATACTATAGTGCTATATAGCAATAGCACTTAAGACTTTTATAACACTTCACAGTGCTTTACAGCCTTAAGTGGTTTACAGTCAGCGTATTGCCCCCAACAATCTGGGTCCTCATTTTATATAATGTATTGCCAATATCTTGTTATATATTACCTTTTTAATAGTTTTAGAATCTCATACACTATATTGAAATAGTAAATAAACAGAATCCTTAGTAAGACCAATTATATTTCTAACCTTTTAAACTTAATAAGAATTGGGGAGTGGCAATGAGTTTCTTTCCTAAAATGATAGAGTTAACTATAGTTAATATTAAACTTGCTCTAAATCAACTGTTATCTGAATCTACAGTCAAAAACAAGCTATAAAATTAACTTCTATTAAAGTGGGTTCCAATAAATAACTAAAGACATCTGATCAGGGAAGAGTTTGCAGAACCTGATTCCAGGGCCTACTTTTGATTTCTCAATAATAACTTCCCCAATCTCTACAGGAATTTTGTGGATTGAGAAATGTGCAAATTATTACTTTAGTTTTGCCAAGAGGATCTAAGAACTTTTAATTGTTTTAAGAAAATAATTAAATGCTTAGAAAAATAAGGTTACTTACCAGCCATTGCACTGACTTCTCCAGCCATAAGTAGACCTGTTGAGTTGTCATACAAGTTCACATCAATTATACCTTTACGAATAGTTTCACCTACTTTTGCTCCTAGCAATACAGAACCAGTAGTTTCAAAAATTGAAGCGAGGATGCAGGCTTGGCGCAAAGTAACTACACCAGAACCCACAGCAGTACCAAAAGAATTGGCAACATCATTTGCTCCAACTGAAAATGCCAAGATAAAAGCAATGATAAAACCTGCAATGACCATCCACAAATATTCTTCCAATGCCATTTTTCTCCAAGTGCTCTTGTAGTTAGGGTTCCTGTTTAAAACTATTTTAATTAGACAAAGCTGAAAGGTAGTGAGCAGATTTAAAAGCTGATTTTGTGCACACAATGAGTTCTCTCTGGAAAGTGCTGTGTGGTACTGGAGCGTGAAGAAACTGCTAACTGGTGATTTTCAAGCTACTGTCAATACTGTTTGTTTGGCTCAATTCAGTCACCAGCGAGATCCATTCCATATTTTACTTCAGTAGGTTTACAGTTGTAATGATCTCTCCTACAAAAAGAAAAAAATGACAAAAACCTAGAATCAAACACTTATATAATTATAAATAAGAAAATCTAGAATGTCATATGATAACCTGGTAACTATACATAAAATGGCTGAAGTCAGATTACAATTGACAGTATTTAGAGGATAATGATAAATTATAATTGAAACTGTTCTATTTCCTAGAAAACTTAAAAAATTAAATAGAGTTGTAGGCATAATATTTTGATTTTCACAAAGTATCTGTAAAAAAGAATATATTAAATTAATCTTTGATTAAGCAAGAATGTCCTTTAGCAAGGATGCCTACTAAGCATAATTAAAGCATAATTAATCTATGTAGTTCAAAATAACTTGAATGGGCTTTTTCCTGAATAAATTTTATCATACTGTGTCTCTTGTAAAATAGCAGAGACCGATGTTAACTCCTCGTACTGTTCAGAAAACTGAAAACATCCTTGTTCCTTAATTAATTAAGTTTATAATGTAAAGGCTACTTGATCCAGATCTATCAATAATATATTGTCTGTTCTGCTAAACATAGTTTGGGACATATTGAAATACACCACTTGAATTGCAATCACATATATTTGATAATAGAGATTTCCATTATAATCCTTGAAAAAATGAACTAACTCTGAAACCTACTTTTGCTTTAATATACGTAAGATTTTACTGGTAATATTTTGTGTCAGGTAACTCAAATTCTATTCTGAGAAAAGTTAAATTCTGCTACTTGAATAAGTTTTGAATACTTGACAAATGACATAATTCATTATGTCTATAATAACTATTAAGTACTACTATGTACTAGCAAAGTACTACATATTGTAAGTACTAGCAAAGAGCCTAGGATACCTAAGCCTCACACTCAACTACCAGAATTAGCTTCGTTATTTTACCAGTCTGCCCATTCAGGAAGTTCTTGTTTAACAACCATATCTGGAATCAGCAACACAATTGTTAAGATTGCTAAGTGAAAAATCATGTGACTATGAGTACAATCTTACTTCAGCTTTCTTTGCTTTACAGACCTACAAACATTGTAAATGCGAGCATTGGCTGCACAGTTACTTTTCCATAATAAACACAACTGTGAACAGTCACTATATGAGACAGTTGCTAAATAAGGACTACTTGTACTACTTCTACTTAAACAATGTATGTTTAAAAGAATAATTCCTGAAAGTACTGGATGTCCAGAAAAAAGGATGTTCTAGCACTCTTTTTAGGTTTCTAAAGCATCTTCTCCTACAGTGACTATAATGATTGTACTCTAACCTCATGGAAGCCCCTCTGATCCCAAAACAGAAAATCCGGAATTTATGATCATTCTGAGTTACAACAGTCTCAGAAATGCCTGCTTTACTTTCAGCATTGTAAAATGTCCCCAAGTTACAGTGGGGCAAAAAAGTATTTAGTCAGCCACCAATTGTGCAAGTTCTCCCACTTCAAAAGATGAGAGAGGCCTGTAATTGACATCATAGGTAGACCTCAACTATGAGAGACAAAATGAGAAAACAAATCCAGACAATCACATTGTCTGATTTGGAAAGAATTTATTTGCAAATTATGGTGGAAAATAAGTATTTGGTCAATATCAAAAGTTCATCTCAATACTTGTTATATATCCTTTGTTGGCAATGACAGAGGTCAAACGTTTTCTGTAAATCTTCACAAGGTTGGCACACACTGTTGCTGGTATGTTGGCGCATTCCTCCATGCAGATCTCCTCTAGAGCAGTGATGTTTTGGGGCTGTCGCTGGGCAACACGGACTTGCAACTCCCTCCAAAGGTTTTCTATGGGGTTGAGATCTGGAGACTGGCTAGGCCACTCCAGGACCTTGAAATGCTTCTTACGAAGCCACTCCTTCGTTGGCCGGGCGGTGTGTTTGGGATCATTGTCATGCTGAAAGACCCAGCCACGTTTCAATGCCCTTGCCCTTGCTGATGGAAGGAGGTTTGCACTCAAAATCTCACGATACATGGCCCCATTCATTCTTTCGTGTACATGGATCAATCGTCCTAGTCCCTTTGCAGAGAAACAGCCCCAAAGCATGATGTTGCCACCCCCCATGCTTCACAGTAGGTATGGTATTCTTTGGATGCAACTCAGCATTCTCTCTCCTCCAAACACGACGAGTTGTGTTTCTACCAAACAGTTCTACTTTGGTTTCATTTGACCACATGACATTTTCCCAATCCTCTTCTGGATCATCCAAATGCTCTCTAGCAACTTCAGACAGGCCCGGACATGTACTGGCTTAAGCAGGGGGACACGTCTGGCACTGCAGGATCTGAATCCCTGGCGACGTAGTGTGTTACTGATGGTAGCCTTTGTTACGTTGGTCCCAGCTCTCTGCAGGTCATTCACTAAGTCCCCCCCCCCCGTGTGGTTCTGGGATTTTTGCTCATCGTTCTTGTGATCATTTTGACCCCACGGGTGAGATCTTGTGTGGAGCCCCAGATCAAGGGAGATTATCAGGTCTTCCATTTTCTAATTATTGCTCCCACAGTTGATTTCTTCACACCAAGCTGCATGCCTATTGCAGATTCAGTCTTCCCAGCCTGCTGTAGGTCTACAATTTTGTTTCTTCGACAGCTCTTTGGTCTTCACCATAGTGGAGTTTGGAGTGTGACTGTTTGAGGTTGTGGACAGGTGTCTTTTATACTGATAACAAGTTCAAACAGGTGCCATTAATACAATGAGTGGACAGAGGAGCCTCTTAAAGAAGTTACAGATCTGTGAGAGCCAGAAATCTTGTTTGTAGGTGACCAAATACTTATTTTCCACCATAATTTGCAAATAAATTCTTTCCAAATCAGACAATGTGATTGTCTGGATTTGTTTTCTCATTTTGTCTCTCATAGTTGAGGTCTACCTATGATGACAATTACAGGCCTCTCTCATCTTTTGAAGTGGGAAAACTTGCACAATTGGTGGCTGACTAAATACTTTTTTGCCCCACTGTATTTGACGGTATTTCAGTTGCTTTGCAAACAGCTCAGTTTTACAGCCAGTTATAATGTCCCACAGTCAATTGTGATTTGTGATTTATTTATTTTTTGCCATTTATCAAAAGAATGGCATTTAAAGACCATACCATTTAAAGACCATACTATTCACTTAACAATTGCACCATTTGCTTAATGACCATCATGAAAAATTTCAAAAAATGGGTAGGTGCCTTGATTTATAATCAGATTTCCAATTCCAACTGTGGCCATAACTGTGGATTATCTGCAATATTTTTGGTCATTTATCAACAATATATGATATCTATAATATGTTCTTGCAGAAATGAAACCTTGAAAAATCCACTTATATAAATTAAACTTGGTAAGAGGGTTGATGATGGCCTCAGCAGGAGTTTACAACATTTGCAAGACTTTTTTAAAAATTAAAAATGTCCCAGTTCAATTCAATGTCATTCTCAATAAATATCATGTTAGTCCAATTTTAAATAATTACATTTAAAATTATTAAATCAGCACTTCCTATTTTGTATTTACTATTCATGCTTCTATCACAGATCCATTCTTCCCTGGCTAAGATTAATAATAGTGTGAAATTATGTTTTCATAAACCTGACTCCCCAATGACTTGTTTCCTCCAGCAAATCTTTCAAGTTCATCAGACCACTGTTCCTATTACTATTTTTATAATAAAACATTTTTCTTACTCTTTATATCTAAGTTCTATCCTCATTTAATTTTTTAAAAGTCCATTTATCTGGAAGACCTTAAAAACAACTGAAATAGTATCTCAGCAGCAAGCCTTAGAAAGGCAAAGAAAGCTGACAAATTCTCCTGCCCTGAAAAGTCCTGGAACACTGACCTTGTTCTACAGAGCCTAAGAGAAAGGACAGGATGTTAGCTCTATCACCATGGTGAAATAAATGCACCGTGATGAGCCAAAAATGAACAAGAATACACCCAATATAAAAAAGAATCCAATTCTTAACTGTAAAAAGCGATGTCTCTAAGTCAGATTCACCTCCTGGCAATTTCATGGTCAGAATCTGGTTTATTACTATTTTGGGGTTTCTCTTTGTTTTTATTTTAACTTCTCCGTGTAGGTGACAGCTTTCAATTTCCCAGTGACTTCCCATCTAAGTGCTATCTAGGTCTGATCCTCCTTAGTTTTTTACAATCAGCTAAAGAAATTCCATAAATCTGCCTTAAGAGATCCATATTTATTATAACCTGAATAATTACAACTGCCCACTGTGGTCAGTAATACAATGGTTACTCAAAAGGGCAGGGACCTTGGAAAAGACATCTAGAAACATTTATCAGAAAAAGACTCACAGGGACCCTCTTGACTCCTTAGGATATATGAGGAAGGAAAGTTAAAACTCAGACAGACTTGCAAGATTCTCTTACTGCAACCTACCTCAAGTATAGAAAATCCTTATTTAACATGCTTTCATTCAGTGACCATTAGGATGATGGTGCTGAATGAGAGGAATTCACTGACAGTGCCTTTGTATTTGCAACCGTTGTAGCATCAGTGGAGAAGCCAGCAGCAGGTTGCGAATAGGAAACTGAGACTACATTGGATTTGCCTAACAATTGCAACTGGGACTCCTGGAACTGCCATCATAAGTTAGCGCAGTTACATGATGTTGCGTTTTACAACCACGTTGCTTGGTAACAAAGTTCCTGAGCTCAATTGCCATTAGTAAGCAAGGACTATCTGTATAAGACTAGTCTTTCTGTGGAGTCACAGAAAGTGGTCTCATCTGATCTACTTCATATGACTGACAAAAAGAAACAGGAAAAACCAACTGATTATGCTAAGCCTGCCAGACATATATAGTGGATATGAAAAGTCTACACACCCTTGTTAAAATGCCAGGTTTTTGAGATGTAAAAAAAAATCAGACCAAGATAAATCACTTCAGAATATTTTCTACCTTTAATATAACATAAGCTTCTACAATTCAAATGAAAAACAAATTTAAATATTTTGTGCAAAATAATAAAAAAACTTGTAATAATGTGGTTGCATAAAATTGCACACTCTTAAATTAATACTTTGTTGAAACACTTTTTGATTTTATGACCGGATTCAGTTTTCGGGTAGGAGCCTATCGGCATTGGACATTTTGTCCTGGGAATTTTACTTACTCTTCCTTGAAAAAGACTCCAAATCTGTCAAATTGTGAGGATATCTCCTGTACACAGCCCCCTCCAGATCACTCCACTGATTTTCAATTGGATTTAGGTCCGAGTTCTGGCTGGGTTATTCCAAAACTTTAATTTTCTTCTGATGAAGTAATTCTTTTATTGATTTGATAGTATGCTTTGAGTTGGTGTTGAGTTGAAAAGTGAAATTCCTCTTCATTTTCAGCATTTTAGTAGAGGCCTGAAGGTTTTGTGCCAAAATTCACTGATATTTGGAACTGTTCATAATTCCCTTCACCTTGATTAAAGTTCCAGTTCCAGGTGAAGAAAAGCAGCTGCAAAGCATAATGTTGCCACCATCATACATCACTGTGGGTATGGTGTACTTTGCACAATGTTGTTTATATGTCATACTTTTTGGAATTATGGCCAAAAAAATTCAACCTTTGTCTCATCATAACACTTTTGCTCACATGCCTTTGTCAAATTTGATGTAGGGTTTTGCAAAATGTAACTGAATTTAAATGTTTTCTTTGTAAGTGTCTGTTTTGCCACCCTAACCCACAGCCCAGACAAAGGAAGCATACTGGAGATTATTTTCACATGTATTACACAAATTGCAGAAATTCCTGCAATCTCCTTTAAAGTTGCTGTAGTCCTCTTAGCAGCCCTTTGGACCAGTTTTCTTCTTACTTTGTCAATAATTTTGGAGGGACATTAAGTTCTTGGTAACATCTATGTTATGTTACATTTTCTCCACTTGTTAGTGACTGTCTTCATTGTGCTCCATGGTGTAGCCAATACCTTGGAAAATATTTGTGCCCTTCTCCTGACTGATATCATCTAATGAGATCCCCTTGATGCTTTGTAAGCTCTTTGCAACCATGGCTGCTGCTATAATGGGCAACTGAGTTAAATGTCATAAAAATCCTACTAAAACGATTGAACTTTATATGAGCTTGGTCAGTCACTGTAATTGATGGCAGGGGTGTATTGACTTACTATTTACCATCATTTTGAATGTGACTGGTTAACTTTGACCACAGCCACATACCTATCTATAATATGGCATGAACACTTATGCAGCCACATTATTCTAGTTTTTATTGTTATTTTTTCTCTCTAAAAGTTTTTAGGCAGTCAGCTAGAAAAAGCAGTTGTAATTTTAATGCAACTCATTATACTTTCCACTTTTTTAAGGAAGAAACTATGAAACAAAGTAAGTAAAACTGCATTAGGCACATAGGCAATATTGGGGGAGGGAAACTGGGTGACGGAATTGAAACATTTTCTTTTTAAAAAATTGTTAATCTTACTTTGGGCCCGTAATGCAGGTATTTTTGTAATACCTGCCTCAAAATAGTGGGAAATTATAGCATTCATTTTTTACAAATATATTGCCAAAATTCAGAGGCAGGGTCCAATATGATCCAATAGCTGCCAAAAAATGGTTTGTTCCAAAGGCTGCTCACATTGATTTAGGAAAAAACCCTAATCACAAATAGCAAGAAAATCATATTTCATAATTCCAGGGATGAGTCAGCCCACACCCAAGATTAAGAGGAAGGAAGACCCAAGCACTCTCTAACAAGACGCTGATAGCCTACATTAAACAGAAAAAAAAAATGTATGGATGATTCAGTATTTGATAATTTCTAAAACGTAATCACCTGAAGAAAGATTGGACGGGTAGACAAGAAGAAACAGAAAACTTCAGAAACTCTCATTCCAAATCTTATTTTGGAAGAAGCTTCTAGTTCTAATAAAAGTAACAAATGTAGCTGCTACGTTATATTAAAAATAACAATCTGAAACATGGCAAAGTATTTGCAGCATACTTTGACAGAGTATGGGACTATGTGTATGCTCAGAAGCTTGGTGCCTGCCACAAAAACAAAAAAAAACTGGAAAAAACTGACCCTAGTGACTTCATATTTATAATACTAGATTTTAATAGTCTTAAATATATTTATTGGAAAATAACTAATACTGTAAACCAAATCTATAACCTAATCTGAAAAACTAATGATTTCAAGTAAGTATATTAAAAGCTGTATACGCTACATATTATAAAAACTAATATAAATAGAATTGAGAATTGTAACAAAATGAATGGGTAATGCTAAGTTGTTTTCAAGTTTACTGAATATAGATTAAATAATTTAAAATAACCTGGCTATAGTTCTTTGTAAACAGTTTCCAGCAACCTTTATTAGTGATTAATGTTGTTTTACACTGCATTACTTTTTTGCAGTTCCAACTGCAGCTTAGGTTTAAATCAAGGGCAATAGTGAAAGTAATTTCACACTGATACCATCCATGGAGAGCTAATGAAATGGAGTGTTAAGCATTGGCATCCATTTCGTCATGATGTAGCTGCTTATCCATAGATGCTAAGTATGTCCATAAAAGATGTAACTGGAATATATTTGGACATCACTGTTGATGTTGATGTATTCAGTCACTGAACTGCAACATGATGGAGCTTCATCCATCCAAGTTTTGAAAGCAGCTTCCAGATAGTTTTTGATTTTTTTTTTTTACATTTGTCTCACTGGGACCATAGTTATTTTATGAGGATGGACACACAGTTATCCACATAGTAGATAAATTTTATTGAGTGATCATTTTTACTCAGTAAAATCTATGTAGCAGGCAGCAATTCATCCTAATGAAGTATTAAACAAAAGGGGAAAAAAGAAAAAAAGCAGTTAGCAACAGGTTTGAATTCTCTACTATGGATTTACCTGTAACACATATTTTGTTTATTTCATTTATTTCTCATGCATATTTTTAATAATTCCATGGATATAATGAGAGAAAGTGATTGGTTCAAATTTCATCAATTTCATAGTTAAATAGTGATGTCTCTAATCACTACTGCATGGTTGTTTTCTATGTAAAATTGTATTATAAAATATATTTCCCAGTACCCAGTATCCATAATAAAGGAACAAGGAGGAGGCTGCTCAGGGTCAATTAAACGCTTACTGGAGGTTCTAGTTAAGTAAACTACAACTTTTTGGTGGATCTAGATGCCGTAATGGTAGATCTAGATAATGCATTTCTAGATTTAACAGCTATCACAAAAATGTTTCACTCCAGGCTTCTCCTATGAACATTTTCTTGACAATGCATCTCATTTGTTCAAAGTGCATTTCAACAGAGCACTGATGCTGTTATTACTGACAATACGTAAGTGATCAGCATATCATTACCTGTGTTACAATGACATTTAAAAAGATATGTACCATCTGAGAGAGACGCATATACACAGATGCACACACACATACACACACTCTGTGACATATATTTGTATAAAGATATAAATGGATATATATATGAGAGAGAGAATATATGAGAATCATTCAAAGTGCATCATAAAGCCAGAAAAATAAATCTGTTCTGGATGATTTCAACTCATAGATACATATAGAATGACAACTTCAAAGAAAACACAGAAAGATACAATCTTCTTTAAGACCCTCAGTCTAACATTAATCAGAAATGATATTCCCATGAGTTTGCTATCACAGTATTTTGCTATTGAATAGTTTAGACTTTTTTGTACCATTCTGTTGGAGTAAGGATTTATATAACTGTTTTAATTTCAACTTTAGACACATTCATGGACAACTTATCAGATGGGAGCAGGCATACATAGTGACTTTTAGCCTTCTAGAGAAGCATCACTTTTCAACACAAATTCCATAAACATCAGTTTCATATTTTATAATATAGAATATGCTATGAAATGTGAGATAAGAAGATACGATAAGTATAACAAATATGTATGCACTCATGAGGGAGGGAGAGAGAGAAGAGATACTAAATTATAATAAACATAAATGACACAAAATGCATTCGCTCTCCACATTGGAGACCTTGGTGCTTTCCGAGCTTTGTTATTTGCTAGCAGACATTTTGTTGCCTAACTAGATAACATCATCAATGCTGAGAATTTCTACCCTACCTTCCTTAAAACCTGAAAAGTACATCTAAGGATACCTTACAAAGGTTGCTCTTTCCCCTTTTCCTCTTCCTCTAGCACTCCTTCAATCTCATCTCATAAGCTAAGTAGTCCTCAAATGTAATGTGGCAACACCGCTTCATTTTTTAAAAATCTCTTACCAATTCCATCCCGCATGTCCACAATCCTTCTAAGATGAGGCGTTGGTGCTACCTGATATGCCCTTTCTCGTTGTGATCAATGGGAGGGACCAGGATGGGTTATTCTAGGCTCTAGCTCTATGGACTGAGTTGAATTTTTTGAGGTTCTGCCTCCCTGGTGACGTTCCTCAGTTTGACAACGACATCGAAGTGAATGGACATCCATCCGAAACACAGAAACAAAAAAACTCCCCAGCCCTCAGGTGTCGTCCCAGACAGATAACTGGGTGGGGCTGAACCCTCCCATTGATCACAAGGGCTTATCAGGTAGGACCAACGCCCCTTCTCCATAGTGTATCGATGAGAGGTGCCAGGATGGGACATACCAAAGCTTGGCAGTCCTATGGGTGGGAATTGCCCTGGGCTGACGACGCTGCCTTCTCGTGGACCCATTGCAGGACCCGCCGGCCAAATGCCACCTCCGCAGAAGAGTAAGAGTCAAGTCTGTAATGACGGACAAATGGCGACAGGGACATCCAAGTCACTGCCCTACATATCTCTTCGACAGAAGCCTGGGTAGCCAGCTGCGAGTAGAATGCGCCATTATCCCCAGAGGCACCAGGAGAGCTTGCAGCTCATAAGCATGGGCTATACATGCCCTAAGCCAGTGCCCTACCGTGGAAGGGGTCACCTTGTGGTCCAGAGTTGATGGTTGAAAGGAGACGAACAGGGATTCAGTCTTCCTGAAGGATGCAGTCCTCGAGATGTAAATATGGAGGGCCCTCCTAACATCCAGCGTATGCCAGGTCTGCTCCAAGGTGTGCCAAGGCCTTGACAGAAATCAGGCAGGACTAACTCCTGTGCTCAGTGAAACAAGGAGTTGACCTTTGGAAGAAAGGCAGGGTCCAGCCGCAGGACCACCCTGTTTGGGTGAAAAATACACAAGTCCTTCCTCACCGATAATGCCGTGAACTCTGATATCCATCTGGCTGATGTGACAGCCACAAGGAAAGCAACCTTACATGAGAGGAGGCAAAGGCTAGCCTCCCTCAAAGGTTCAAAAGGTGCCTTGGTCAATGCTTGTACAACTTTGGTCAGGTTCCAAGTTGGATAACGGTGGAGCATTGGGGGTCGCAATCAGAAGCCCCCCCTGCAGAAAGGCTCCCACCTTCGGATGGTGAGCGAGGGAGCCCAGGTCCCCAAAGATCAAGACAGATCCCAGGGCAGCGACTTGCCTACACAAAGTATTAGTGGAAAGCCCCTATTCCAGGCCCTTTTGTAAAAACTCCAACACTTCTGCCACAGAGGTTGAAGTAGGGTCCAAATGTTTCATTGTACACCACTCCTGAAAGGTAGTCCAGATGGCGTTGTAAATATGCATGGTTGAAGGCTGCCTGAATCATCCAGATGATCCTGGTAGAGAATTTCTCCCATCTCAGGAGCCTCTGCTCAACCGCCAAATGGCCAACTGGAGCCGCTGGGGCTCGGGGTGTAGTACAGGCCCTTGGCTGAGGAAGACTCTGTCCGGGGTCTGGCGACAGACAGGCCAACCAGGTTGGCAAACCATGGCCTCCTGGGCCAATGAGGAGCCACTAACAGAACCTCTGCCCCCTTTGACAACACCGTCCTGATGACAACTGGCATTTGTTTTTGTTTTTGTTTTCATATTTTTTTTATTATTAAAAAAAAATTTAACATACATAACATACATGAATCATAATATATAATATATAACAAAATACACAATACAAACAATCAACGAGTGCTCCCCCACCCCTCGGGATCATTCCTGCTTCCAAAATCTTAAAGCTTCTTCTGGTGGTGGTATCCCCCTTCCTCCAGAAAACACATATATTAGGAACTGTTTCCGGATTCCATTGAATTCATTTACTTTCATTATGCCCCTCCTTACTTTAATATTACAAGTCAATTTATCATTTATGGCAATAAATAAACCAATAATCACCTTGTGTCTTCCAGTTCCTAGAAATCATTAACCTTGCTGCGGTCAACAAATTTATTATCAACTCTTTAGTCTCTTTTTTACATTTTATATCTTCCAATAGTGAGAGTAATGCTACCTTTGGTGCCTCTTCTACCTTTATTCCTACAATTTCTTCAATCTCCTTAAACACCATCTTCCACAATTTTTGCACAAATTTACAATCCCACCACATATGTAAATACGTTCCTTTTCCCCAACCTCTCCAACAGTTATCTGAATAGTGCTGATTCATATTGCTTAATCTAACCGGAGTTAAGTACCACCTCCATACCATTTTGTAATAAATCTCTTTTATTCTTACTGACATATTTCTCAACACTCTTTGTTGCCAAATTCTGTCCCAACTCTGTTGCCCTATTTGTATCTTCAAATCCGTTTCCCATACCATCTTTCCTAAATTTTCCCTCTCCTCTTCCTCCAACAATATTTTATAGATTCCACTCATTAAGCCTTTTATCCCTTTATTTTCTTCCTTTACAGTTTCATTTTTTTTCATTTTTTTCAATTAATCCCTCAAACCTCGTTAACTCTCTACACTCTCCATTTTCTCTTATCCAATTTTTAGTCCATTGTTCCACTTGGCTATAATTTAACCAAGACAACCGTTTTCCTCCTAGAACCTCTTCCAATTCCCCACGTGTCCTCATTCCTCCTAACCATTCCCTTAGTTTCATTTTATTTTTCTCTTTTAAAATTTCATTCACTTTATTCTTCAAATTCCCTGGGAACTTTTCCAAAATTACTACTGGTGATAATGGAGAGTTCTTCGGAAGCAACCTCCCTTTATATTTACTCCAAATTTCCCAATGAAACTTCAGGAGAGTATTGCTTATGC